ATTATAAGAAAATAGAACCTAAATCCACTTAGGGTGTTTACAGATGCTGGACCCCAAAGGTCGGCATATAAGTAGTCTAGTATGGAAGTGGATTTATGGGTTTCAGTTTTAAAGGGCAGTCTTTTCCGTTTTCCAATTAAACAGTTTTCACAAAAGTCCAATTTTTCAATATTATCCTTTCCAAAACATCTAAGTTTATTTAAAATGATTAATCCCTGTTCTGAAATGTGTCCCATTCTTTTATGCCAAAGTAAGGATTTGTTAAACTCATAGTTTGAGGTAGTGGTACACTGACTTAAAACAGGCTTAGCATGGACAGTGTAAATTCCATTTATTTTTGAAGAGGAGATGACTCTCTTTTCTCCTAAAGTTAAGCTTATAAGACCCTTGTGAATATAGATATTGTATTTCTCATCTAATTCTCCCAAAGAAATAAGATTCCTTTTGAGTTCAGGAACATATCTTATATTTTCTAATTCAAGAGCATAGTTGTTATCTAACAACAACTTAACTTTACCAATACCTTCTATTTGACAACTAATGTCATTCCTCATCTGAATTTGCCCTCCATTGAGGTCAACAAACTCAGAAAACCATTCCTTTAAAGGACACATGTGAAAGGTGCATCTAGAGTCAAGAACCTACTCTCTTGAGTTTCTTTTGGTGGTATTAACAAGAACCACTCCCTGGATTTCAGGTTTATTTTTGCATGCAACAGCTGCAGAACCATCAAAATTATTTCTATCTTTCATGTCTGAAATTTTCTTAAAACAGTCTTTTATTAAGTGTCCTGTTTTGCCACAGTAGTAGCATTTTCTGGTCTGATTCTTTGGTTTTACATGATTCTTGTTCTTGTCTTTGAGCGTATAAGTAGGGAATCTTCCTTTCTTATGAGGATTGGGATAGTATTGGTTATGTTTCTTATTGTGATTTACCTTTTCTTTTATACGAAGCCCTTCACCAGACTTAGAGTCTTTTGACTCAACTTTCAATTCAAGCTCCTTATTTCTTAAGGTTGATGTTACTGTATCCACAGTAAGTTCTTGCTCCCCATATTCTGAGGCATTTCTAATGTCTCTATAACTTTCACTTAGAGAGTTTAATAGAGCAACAACTTGTTTGTCATTAGAAATTTCCTCATCACAATTTTCTAAGTCCCGAATCATTTTAGTGAATTTGTCAAGATTTTCTTCTAAACCAGATGATGGATCAAATTTGAAGTTGTAAAATTGCCTTAAGAGATAACATTCATTTGGCATGGATTTAGTCAAGTAGAGTGATTCTAATTTTATCCACAAGGCCTCAGCAGCAGTGGTTTCTCCCACTTTCCTAATCACACTATCAGACAAATAAAGCAAAATAGCACTCCATGCAATATCATCCAATTCTCTCCTCTTATAGGCACTAATTTCAGCAGCCCATGTCCCATCAAGGGCTACATCAC